TTCAATAACACTCCGATTATACCTCCCCTCATCTCCTCCGGCAACATCGATTCGCCGTCGTCGTCTATGGAACTGTTTTCATGGCGAGTTTGGAAAGGATGAAATGGAATGACCGTTTCATCGTTCCGAAAGGAGATCAATGGAAGGGATGAAATGACCATCTTAGTCTTATCCGTGAGATCTACTTGTAAGCTATTAAATGAGAAATGACAGAAGTTCTAATTTCAGTATAAATCCTATGAAACTTTGATCACAAGAGTTTAAATTCAAATTTTTTTACCACAAGGACTATCTTTCAAATATTTTATAATCACGAGAACCATTTATTCAATTAGACCATTCTTATTTCTTTTAAGAAACCTCGTCAGTGCTATAGAATGTTGATACTATTCAATTTTGGCATATTCCCTATTCTGTCCTTCATCCATGATTCCAAAGTTATACTATTCAATATTGGCATATATTCCAATGTGTAAATTTTCCCCTTTTCTCTTCTGACCGTCCACTCTTGCAGTTCTTATACTATTCAATGTTTGTCATATTCTGTAATTCCAAATTTCTTGCAAGAATTGTATTCACCCATATGATTTTGTGTGGTTTTTCTTATGAATCCAGAATTTTTTGTGAGAATTCTAGAAATTCATGAATTGTGTTCGATCATCGTACATTGTGCAGTTATAAATTATTTTAAATTATTTTATTTAAAATTAAAAACAAACAACATCTGATAAAAACTAATTGTACGATATATAATGAACAAATACGATCTACGAATCTTCAAGATCCTCATAAAGAAAATTTATAAAGGATCCTGTTGGTTTTTTTTTTTTTTTTTTTTTTTTTTGGAAAAAAGGATCCTGTTGGTTTTCTTATTGATTTTCTGGAAAAATTAGTAAGAGAAGCTTTCATGGGAATAACAGATGGACTGCGATGGGTCTGCAAAGTACTGCTGGAATTAAAGCTTTGATGCGAACAAAAAAAGTAACTAATTTGATTATAATAAAATAAAAACTGCAATGCTATGTTGATAATTCTTGATCATTAATTTAGTAATGACTAATGACTAACTAATACGATAATCAAGCGTCAATTCGCAATTCTTTTATCTATCAATAAACGAACCAAATATCTCATTTCAAGTTTGTACACTTGGACAACGAACTAAAATTTGAAGAAGCCTCAATTGAGAGTGTGATAAGCATAGGAAAATTGCTTTTAACGTTGATTAAGAGTCAAGTGTTTATCCATGGATTGAGATTTTGTGACAACCCCATCCCTAATTTTACGTATTTATTTATTTTAATCAAAGCAATTGACGAAAATGCCCTTGAGGCAAGGACTTTGACTTCCATTAACCATCATTTAGAGAAACGTATGACTTATTCTTTTAGCGTATTTCAGTAGTACTCGTTGGTACGAACACATAGACGAAAGTCGTTTGCGAGTCCGGATTATAACGGTATAGTTACGAACGTTTGAAGTTGATTATTTAAAGTTAGTTAATTGGTTAAGGAGGACCAATTAGATAAAAGGTAGAAAAAGGGCAGCAGCCCAATCAGAAATCAGAAGAAAAAAACAAAAATAAAGGGAAGAAAACTCCCAGCCTTCCCGGGCACACCACAACTGCGACCACCTAACTTCCAAGGCCGATTCCGACCAACTCTGGTGCAATTTCTCGATGCCACCACTGCCATCTTGAAGCTCTCATTCCCCTCTACAAAATCCACCCAAGAACCACCTTGATTAACCTCTGTATGTCACGGTTTGAGGCCACGCAAGTTGACAGTTCTCACGCTGCTCTGGCTACCCTTTTTGATTTTTCCGGCAAAACGGCAAAGCGATGGCCGATGCCACCACTTGGGCTTTGTAGCTCATCATCCTCGAAGCAAAACCCAACCAACCTTGACCCCGTTGGACCACCGTAAACGACGAATCGACACTGGGAAGCTTTAGGCACCTGTCGGCTTTGTGAGCAAAATTGACCATATTCCGTCCACTTTTGGACTTCATGGCAAGTATGAAAGTTGTTCCTCTCATTGAGATCTTCATTTTTATAATTTTTGAGAATTTTTAGAAATAGTTGAATTTTCCGGCAAGTCGGGGTGGCCGACCGCCACTCACGGCGGCGCATGGTGGCGCGTGGCTAGAGGACCGTCAATGCTATATTTAGGATAAATAAGATGCTTGGAGTTCAATCCTGAGAATCGTATGACGTAGATTGGTCGTTGGAACCTAAATTCTCTACAATACGTTAAAAGGTCATTATATGAATCGACAATCTGACCGTTGGATTGTCACCAAACTTTAATATGTTATAGTACGTAATATTTGAGAACCATAGAAACTTTTGACCATCACTACGGATCGAGAATCCAATTTATGGATCTTCCCAAATTGAATTTGTAAGTTCATAAAATAAAATGTTGACCGTCACTTGGTTTTAGCAATTGATGGAGATCCGACTGTTGGATCGTAATGAAACCTTAGGACGTTGTTTTAGAAACATATTGTAGATCTTTGAAGTAACGGATCATTTACCACAGATGCTATCTTTCGAATATTTTATAACCACGATGATCATTTATCCAATTAGGTCATTCTTATTTCTTTTAAGAAACATCGTCAGAACTTTTAAATGTTGATACTATTCAATTTTGGCATATTCCCTCTTTTGTCCTTCATCCATGATTCCAAAGTTATACTATTCAATATTGGCATATATTCCAATGTGTAAATTTTCCCCTTTTCTCTCCTGACTGTCCACTCTTGCAGTTCTTATACTATTCAATGTTTGTCATATTCTGTAATTCCTAATTTCTTGTATGAATTGTATTCACCCATATGATTTTGTGCGGTTTTTCTTATGAATCCAGATTTTTTTGTGAGAATTCTAGAAATTTATGAATTGTATTCGTTCATCGTACATTGTGCAGTTATAAATTATTTAAAATTTTTTTATTTAAAATTAAAAACAAACAGTATCTGATAAAAACTTATTGTACGATATATAATGAATATATACGATCTACGGATCTTCAAGATCCTCGTAAAGAAAATTTATAAAGGATCCTGTTGGGTTTTTTTGGAAAAAACGATCCTGTTGGTTTTCTTATTGACTTTCTGGAAAAATTAGTAAGAGAAGCTTTCATGGGAATAACGGATGGACTGTGATGGGTCTGCAAAGTACTGCTGGAATTAAAGCTTTGATGTGAACAAAAAAAGTGACTAATTTGATTATAATAAAATAAAAACTGCAACGCTATGTTGATAATTCTTGATCATTAATTTAGTAATAACTAATGACTAACTAATACGATAATCAAGCTGCTCAGTCAATTCGCAATTCTTTCAACCATCAATAAACGAACCAAATATCTAATTTCAAGTTTGAACACTTGGACAACGAACTAAAATTTGAAGAAGCCTCAATTGAGAGTGTGATAAGCATACGAAAAATGCTTTTAACGTTGATTAAGAGTTAAGCGTTTATCCATGGATTGGGATTTTGTAACAACTCATCCCTAATTTTACGTATTTATTTATTTTAATCAAAGGAATTGACGAAAATGCCTTTGAGGCAAGAACTTTGACTTCCATTAACCATCATTTAGAGAAACGTATGACTTATTCTTTTAGCGTATTTAAGTAGTACTCGTTGGTACGAATACATAGACGAAAACCGTTTGCGAGTCCGGATTATAACGGTATAGTTACGAACGTTTGAAGTTGATTATTTAAAGTTAGTTAATTGGTTAAGGAGGACCAATTAGATAAAAGGTAAAAAAGGGCAGCAATCCAATCAGAAATTAGAAGAAAAAAACAAAAATAAAGGGAAGAAAACTCCTAGCTTTCCCGTGCACGCCACAACCGCGACTACCTAACTTCCAAGGCCAATTCTGACCAACTTCGGTGCAATTTCTCGATGCCATCACCGCCATCTTGAAGCTCTCATTCCCCTCTACAAAATCCACCCAAGAACCATCTTGATTAACCTCTGTATGTGGCGGTTTGAGGCCACACAAGTTGACAATTCTCATGGTGCTCCGACTACCCTTTTTGATTTTTCCGGCAAAACGGCAAAGTGATGGCCGATGCCACCACTTGGGCTTTGTAGCCCATCATCCTCGGAGCAAAACCCAACCAACCTTGACCCCGTTAGACCACCGTAGACGATGAATCAACACTGGGAAGCTTTAGGCACCAGCCAGCTTTGTGGGCAAAATTGACCATCTTCCGTCCACTTTTGGACTTTATGGCAGGTATGAAAGTTATTCCTCTCATTGAGATCTTCATTTTTGTAATTTTTGAGAATTTTTAGAAATAGTTGAATTTTCTGGCAAGTTGAGGTGGCCGACCGCCACTCACGGCGACGCGTGGTGGCGCGTGGCCAGAGGACCGTCAATGCTATGTTTAGGATAAATAAGATGCCTGGAGTTCAGTCCTGAGAATCGTATGACGTAGATTGATCGTTGGAACCTAAATTCTCTACAATATGTTAAAAGGTCATTATATGAATTGACAATCTGATCGTTGGATCGTTACCAAACTTTAATATGTTATAGTACGTAATATTTGAGAACCATAGAAACTGTTGACCGTCACAACGGATTGAGAATCCGATTTATGGATCTTCCCAAATTGAATTTGTAAGTTCATAAAATAAAATGTTGACCGTCACTTGGTTTTAGCAATTAACGGAGATCCGACCGTTGGCTCGTAATGAAACCTTAGAGAGCGAGGACATGATAATTACAGTCCCGAGTTGTAATGGTTAGCGTATACATAGATATAGTTAGTGTAACATAAGTACTAGGTAATGTTTTCTTGTCAGACTTACATTGTTTGATGATATTTATTTTGTCCGATTGTGAAAATGAACCACGTCCACGAAAGAATTAATAACACGTCATATCTAAGTAATGCAGGTATCCTCTCCAAGGTTTGCTCAATCAATTCACAAGTCTCCGCTCCAAGTCTTCCCCTCCAATTCTTCCTCTCCAAGTCTTCCTCCTCCCTACCAATAAAAGGACCAAAACATCTCATTTTTTCAACAAAAACTTAGAAGCCATGACCATGAGCAAACAAAAAATGCTTCTGCAACCTATCATCCTCATAATAGTAATAGAGGTACTATTAGCAGCAGCCACTTCAGCCCAAACACAATTAACCTCTCCACCTCTTCCTTCTCCTCCTCCTCCCGGTGAAGTAGAAGTCAAGCCGGGTTGTCAAGACAAATGTGGGAATGTTAGCATCCCGTATCCATTTGGTACAAAAGAGGGCTGTTACTTAAATGAGGATTTCCTCATTACTTGTAATAGCACACATTATGACCCCCCAAAACCATTTCTTAGAAAGAGTCATTCGATTGATGTCACAAAAATATCCGTAGATGGGAAGCTTTACATTACCCTATACCCAGCCGTACAATGTTACGAAAAATCAGGCCAGCCGATTGACGGCTTTACCAATTTTCTCACTCTTTCCAGTTTCTTCATATCAAACACCGAAAACGTGTTTGTCGCAGTTGGTTGTGACACCCATGGGTACATTAAGGGAGACAAAAATGGAAACTACGGATACACTGGTGGGTGCACTACAGTGTGTGGCAGCATTGACTACGTTGCCAATGGTTCCTGCAGTGGTATCGGCTGTTGTGAAACACCAATTGCTCAAGGAATGACTTCTTTCGAGGTGAGTGCAACGAGTTTTAAAAATCATTCGAATGTGTACTCCTTTAATCCTTGCAGTTTTTCCTTCGTTGTCCAAGGGGGCAAGTTCAACTTCTTCTCCAATATGTTGTGGTCGGATTATTTGATAAATACACAACTTCCGGTGGTACTCGATTGGTCGGTTGGAAATGAGACCTGCGCTAACGTTGTTGAGAAGAAACAAGTGCCGAATTACACATGTCAGGGCAACGCAACGTGTCTTGATGTCGAGAATGGATCCGGGTATCGCTGCAAGTGCAACGAAGGTTACCAAGGGAATCCATACCTAAATGACTGCTATGGTATTTCTATTTCACTTTATTAGTACTACTAATTAAAATAATATGCTTAATTTCTGAGCATGGGTTATGTTGTTTTGCAGACATTGATGAATGTGAGGTTCCAGAGCTCAATACATGCAAGCAAAAATGTATAAATACAGAGGGAAACTATACTTGTTCTTGCCACAAGGGGTACCATGGTGATGGTAGAAAAGACGGAGAAGGCTGCACCCCTGATCGGACCTTTGTTATCCAAATTGTCGTTGGTAAGCATGTACATATATGGTAACAAGTGATTAACAAGTGATTCAATGCTTTTCTACATGTTTTTAAAGAATCCAAACTTCGTTAGAGATGTGATGAAAAAGATGGTCGGCACATATGGTCCAGATAGCAATACATACTCAGTTCATTTGGTTATAACTACGTACCAGGGTTTACAATTAATTTGTTGGATATGTAGGAATCGGCGTAGGCCTCGTGTCCCTATTCATGGGCAGCTCTTGGTTGTATTTGGGATACAAACGATGGAAGCTCTTGAAGCTAAAGGAGAAATTCTTCAAGCGAAATGGAGGGATCATGCTACATCAGCAACTTTCAGAACGGCAAGGATCCTCTCATGAAACGGCAAAAATCTTCACAACAGGAGAACTTGAGAAGGCCACCAAAAATTATCATGAGACTAGAATCATTGGCAAGGGAGGGTTCGGTACAGTCTACAAAGGAATTTTAGCAGACGGCCGAGTAGTTGCAATCAAGAAGGCCAAAATGGTAGATCAAAGCCAGACAGAGCAATTCATAAATGAAGTGGTCGTACTGTCCCAAATCAACCACAGGAATGTGGTCAAGCTTTTAGGTTGTTGTTTGGAAACCGAAGTCCCCCTACTAGTTTATGAATTTGTCGCCCATGGAACCCTGTTTGAATACATCCATAACACAACCAAATCATCCAAATTCAACGCGCCTTGGGAAATTCGTCTACGGATAGCTACAGAAACTGCTGGCGTGCTGTCATACTTGCACTCTGCAGCTTCTGTTCCTATAATTCACAGAGATATCAAGTCTACAAATATACTCTTAGATGAGAATCTCACAGCCAAGGTGTCTGACTTTGGAGCCTCAAGATTGGTTCCATTGGACGAAGCTCAGTTATCTACAATGGTGCAAGGAACTCTCGGGTATTTAGACCCGGAATACTTGCAGACAAGCCAGTTGACTGAGAAAAGCGATGTCTATAGTTTCGGAGTTGTCCTCGTCGAGCTACTAACAAGAAAGAAGGCACTTTCGTTTGACAAGCCGGAGGAAGAGAGAAATTTGGCAAAGTATTTTCTTTCAGCACTGAAAGACGACCGCTTGCTGCAAGTTCTTGATGATTGTATTGTGACTGAGGCAAACGTTGAGCAGCTTAAGGAAGTTTCTAACCTTGCAAAGAGGTGCTTGAGAGTAAAAGGTGAAGAAAGACCAACAATGATGGAAGTTGCAATGGAACTGGAGGGCTTGAGAAGGATGGTCATGCATCCATGGGTTAATGATAATTCCAATTTAGAAGAAACTGAATGCTTGCTCGGAGAAATATCAATGGAAACCATTAGTAATGAAGGAGGTGGCGAATCAAGTTCGGGGTTTCATAATATGAGGAACCACGTTGTATTACCAGTTAGTGATGGGAGATGATCGTGCCAGTGAACAAGTATTGTGCTTTTTTTGCCTAATATTCCATGGAGTACTTATGTCTATCATTTAATTTCTTTAATTACCTTGTTTAATTAATATGGAGTAAATGTAATTTTGCGGTGAATGGAAAAAAACTGCTCTTAATGATTGTATCACATGGAGTTCCTTTTTTTCCCCTTCTCAAACTACATTCATTGTTTCGTGATGCACTTTTTTTTTTTTTTTTTTAACGAATGATATTTATATACATTAAGGAGGTGAGCTTAGTCTTACAATAAACTAACAATAGTGTTGTTCAAATACGCATTTGGCGATAATCAAACTTAAGACCTCTTACTTATAAATAAAAAAGAATATCACTAGACATAAGTACCAAACGGCAATGCAGACTCAACTCATAAATGAATGATCAAAATCAAAATTTTATGTAACACCAGGATTACTCTTAAATGAGCACCAAAAATTAACTGACTAAAATTTAAGGGTATTTAGCTATAAATTACTTAAAATTACTGATTAGGCATATATTTCTGGTTTGAACTTATTTTTTTATTAGGTCAAATTAGAATCTTCTATAGTTTTTCTATATCATTTAGATTAAACATCTATGCCTTTTTAAAGTGCTTTGACCAATAGTCGCCTCTATTTTTTAAAATTAAAATAATTTTTGAATTTATCTCTTTATCTGCATGATGCACTTTTCCTTATTTAATGGAGATATTAGTAATTAAACTATATTTTATATTCTTCCAAATATGTTTTTTTCGATCACAGTTTTTATTTATTTATTTATTTTATTATGGAAACATTTAATATTATTTCTTTTTCCAAATTGTTTTTTTCTTTTTCAAATAGTTGGTGATCAACATAAAAACTCCGTGTAATTTTTTCAATTTTTTTGTGAAATTATATTTTTTTTTGCTGTTTTTTTAAGTATAGTTGTTGACGAATTATTATTAGGTACAATACATTATGTATATATTATCTGCGGGTACATTTGAATTTACAAAAATCATTAATTGGTATGTTTATTTGCAATTTTGGTACGTTTGATTTGAGACATATAATTAATATTGATACATTATTTTTATTTTGGTACGTTTTATTTTGTACACATTGTGTATTGGTACGTTTATATTATTCTCAATCCTATTTTCTCATAACGTACTAAAACAAAAACTTATTTTGGTACGTTTTGACACACCCTGACCGAGATCAGGGCGTGCTTGCCATCACGTGGAGGTGACGTAGCCATGTGCACAGTGCGGAAGCTACTAAAGTAATAACGTAAAAGTACGAATAAATAAAAACTAGCATACATAAGGTCAAAGTAATGAGTGCTAGCGTAAGTGAGACACAATTTCAGAGCAGAAAACCTAAAGCAGTCCAAACTAAAATAGCGTTACAACAGGGCACCCGAAGGTGGACGTACGCTGGTGATCGTCTGTCAGAAATGCCGGGAAAGCCCTCTGGGAAACCACCAAACCAACTGAACAACTAGAACCTGGAGGGGCGCAAAACAAAAGCGTGAGTGGGCAAAAACAAAGCTTTTCAAAACCCGTTTAGCAAAATAAGTTCTAACCCCTCGCCGTAAAACCTGTATACTTCCCAGAATATAAACATATGCACGCATAAATATATATATCAACCATGCTCAAGAATATGCCATGCCAGGAACTCAGAATGGAATGCAAGTGCTCAGGTATAAACCATATCAATAACATATAACTGGCAGCCGGAGTCACCTAAAGTGACCTGTACGGCTGAATCTAGAGCTTAAATCTCAATCTCAATAACTAAACCTGCCCACGAGTCGGAACCACCTATAGTGGTCTGTACGACAGGCCTGGGTGTAATACATATAAATGCTCTAGTGCTACGATCATGTGAAGGCTGTGCGAATAGTCGCGGGTCACTTACGAGTCGGAACCACCTAAAGTGGTCTGTACGATAAGACTGTGCACCTAACTTGGATCTAAGCTGAGCGTATGGTGCGGGAGGTGAACAACACGTGAAGGACTGTGCCCTACTTTGGGCGGGAGCACTAACATCGGGGGTGCAGGTTATGAGCTCTTTAAGCATCTTTAATCACTATTTAATGCAAATATTAAATAACGCTTACTTGGCACTTACCTGTGCATCCACAGCACCAATATATATATATATATATATATGAACATATAAATGAATATGTATAAACAAACATATATGCAACTAATCATGCATAATAACCACTAATATAAAAGGAATGACATATAACTAATAAACATTTATATAAATTTCTGGGAAAATATAAGTATATAGGTATATACGGAAAACCAAAAGCCCACTCACTGGTATGTGGAAGGGTCGTAGCCCCCTTGCCCACGCGCAGGCACGTGCCTGGCACGCTGACGGCGTCAACTGACACCGTAGGGAATATTCCGTTAGTTCTAAATGATTCCGTCAACGGCGTCAGGAATATTCCATCAAACTTGACGGAATATTCCGTCTTCTTCCCCGGCGAGACTCCGGTGCCGGCGCCGGAAAACTGGGAAATCTTTAAAACGTCCTAACTCCTTCATTTTTCAACCAATTTTCACGATTTTTGTACCAAAATGACGCCTAGAACTAGGAGAACAACGATATACCACTTTTAAGGGTTAAAAACTATGAGATCTCACCTGTCCACACAATCCAAATCCGGCCAACTTCGAACACGGCGATCCCGATGCCCAAATCCTTCAAACGAACTACTCCGAGACTCCTTGGGACCTCACCAAGCTACCTACGAGCTTCATTTCCTCTAAAATGTGAGAATTTACGTTTGCATGAATAGTACTCAAATCGGACAACTTCGAATCGACGTGAAAACGATAGAGTTCTCACCTGAAAATGGTATGGTTGCACTCGCACGAGCCTCACGAGCTCGAATATGTACTTGGTTCCTTCGATCTGTGGGTGTTTGATGGGTTTTGGTGTATGTCCGTACGTTTTCGAAGGAAGAGGAAGGGAATGGGGCTCGGGGAACTTACAGGGAAAGGGACAGAAGGTGGTGCAGGTGTGGGAGTGTGTGTGTGGCCCAAAGACATTCCAACACAACACCAAAAACAACCAATAACGTAAAGAGAACGAACTAGGGGTAAAAGTGTCTTTTCACACATACGTTTTCTATAATTTCGGGACGGGCTGTCACAACCTACCCATCTTAATAGAATTTCGTCCCGAAATTCAAAACAACCAAATATAACCCCTAGTGACCAAAGAACAACCTAGGATACAAATCCCTCATCCGATCTTCCGTCTCCCACGTAGCTTCCTCCACGGAATGATTCCTCCACAAAACTTTCACTAAATTCACCGTCTTGTTCCTTAGAACCTTTTCCTTCCAATCTAGTATCGTCACTGGTTCCTCGTCATAAGTCAAATCTGGATTAATCTCCAAGGGTTGTGGAGGTATCACATGAGATGGATCAGCAACATAATGTCGAAGCATGGACACGTGAAACACGTTATGCACTCTGGCTAACTCCGGAGGCAACTCCAACCTGTAAGCTACCTCACCAACTCACTCTGTGACCATGTATGGTCCAATATACCTGGGACTTAACTTGCCTTTCTTCCCAAATCTCACTACACCTCTCCACGGTGAGAGCTTCAGAAATACCCAATCTCCGACCTCATACGCTCTGTCCGTAGCATGCCGATCTGCTAAGCTCTTCTGCCTGTCCTGGGCTGCTTTCAGGTTAGACTTAATTACCTGAACATTTTGAGTAGTCTCCTCAACAATCTCAGGACCCACTAAGACTCTTTCTCCAACCTCTGACCAACACAACGGTGTGCGACAAGCTCTACCATATAATGCCTCAAATGGCGCCATGCCAATACTCGAATGAAAGCTGTTGTTGTAGGCGAATTCCATCAAATCCAACCGTTGGTGCCAAGCATCACCAAACTGCAACACTGAAGTTCGCAACATATCTTCCAAAGTCTAAATAGTTCTCTCTGATTGTCCGTCCGTCTGAAGATGATACGCCGTGCTATAAAGTAGTCTCGTACCCAAAGCTTCCTGGAAAGCCACCCAAAACTTAGATGTAAATCGTGGATCACGATCCGAGACAATACTCACAGGGATACCATGATACTTCACAATCTTCGAGATGAACAACTCCGCCAAACGACTCAAAGAATACTTCTCCCTCACTGGAATGAAATGTGCCGACTTAGTGAGCCGATCAACGATTACCCAAATGCCATCAAAACCATTATGTGTACGCGGAAGCTTGTACACAAAATCCATGGTAATATTTTCCCATTTCCACTCTGGAACGGGAAGTTGCTGCAACAACCCAAACGACTTCTTCCTTTCCGCTTTAACCTGCTGACAAACAGCACATCTACTCACATACTCAGCTATCTCCCTCTTCATACCCGGGCAATAATAGAATGGTCGAATGGTATGATACATTTTAGTAGCTTCTGGATGCATGGCATAAGCTGAGATATGTGCTTCATCGAGAATTTCTTTCTTTAACTCCAAGTTATTAGGCACGAACATTCTTCCCTCTTGCATCAACATGCCATCCGAATCACGAACTCTGAGGTCTCTCCTCCTTCCTTGATCTCGAGCTTGGATTAGTTCTTGAGTCTGCTCATCAGTTATCTGAGCTGCAAGCACCCGATCAACTAAGATTGGCCTAACTTGAAAATTTGCAAGTAACACCACTTCTCGATCTTCTGCTTCTAACCTCATTCCCGTAGAACGCAAGTCCGCCAAAAGAGGAATATGACTCGCATACAACGCATTAATGCGGCCCTGAGACTTCCTACTAAGTGCATCGGCAACTACATTTGTACGACCAGGGTGATAATCAATCGTGCAATCGTAATCGCTGAGCAACTCCATCCACCTCCGTTGACGAAGATTAAGTTCCTTCTGAGTAAAAAGATATTGAAGACTCTTGTGATCTGTAAAGATCCTACATTTCTCTCCATAAAGGTAGTGTCTCCACAACTTCAACGCAAAGATAATAGCAGCCAACTCCAAATCATGTGTAGGGTAATTCAACTCATGGGGTTTCAATTGTCGCGAAGCATAAGCAATCACCCTACCATGTTGCATTAACACACATCCCAGACCATTCAAGGAAGCATCGCTATAAACCTCGA